GGAATTCTGTGCGGTATATCTAGATGGATCGAGTGACAACTCTATTGTCCTGGTCTTTTTCTGGCTAGACATTGCTTCGGGCTAATTGAATGATTGATGATGATCATTGAAATATTCTTGAGTATAAGTTGAATAGAAGGTGCTTCACAGTGTACACAACTGCAGTGCAGTGTAATTTACCTGAGCATACTGGTACATTGTACATACACTGTAAATGTACATGCATGTATACATGTAAGTTTTGAAGTTGAAATTTAACGTGTAATGAACTCTACATGTATGTATACATTTTATTTCAAGTACCTGGTACATGTACCCCCATGCAAGTGTTACATGTTCATGTCCATTGTAAAGATCTTTTTCTGGTTTTTAGAGCATGGCGAAGGTCTATGATATGTGAGCAGATTCGCTGATTAATTATGCAAGATCACAACCGCCTTTTGACCTCTAGATTTTGACCAATCAGCAGGCGCTTTCTCAGTCCTGATTTGAAAATCACAGGCGTGTGGAAACAGGCACACGTGGATTTTTCTAGGCGTGTGGTTTTCTAGGTGTGTGATTTTCTAGGTGTGTGATTCTGTGGTCCAGGGAAATTCAGGCGTGCAATTAATCACACTTCTCGGGAAGCTTTTAGGCGTGCGATGGCGTGGGAGTGCGATCGCACACCTCAAATCAGAAGGACTGCTTTCTATATCTGGTCTTCGGTCATTCACTCGTTGTCGCGTCATAGACATGGATAAAAAAAAACCTAGACACAGCAACAAAGGCTGTGGTCATGCACTCTTATGTTATGCGATTTGCACAAGCTTACAAGTCTAGGTTTTATCGATCTCTATATGCCCGGCAGTAATTGTTGTATTACAAAACACTGCATTCGAAGTGACCAATCAAATATAAATGACGTCACGATTTAGTAAAGTTGACTGGCTGAGGCGCAGGATTTCATAAATCTGCATGCTTAGATAGATATATCGGACGTTATACATGTACAGGAGAATGGGCTCAGTGGATAACAGGTGATACTCAGACTCTAGCCTACACCTCGTGAATTGCAAAATTGTATGAACACCTGTTGTTAGGTTTGTTTGTCATCATTTTCAGCCTACTGTTCGGGTAGGGTTACATGTAGGAAAGAAAATGTTAATACAAATGTGTACATGTATGTTGTATGAGTAGAGAGGGTTTTGTTTTCTTCGAATTTATAGAAACTAAATAAAACAAACTGCACTTCATAATGTGTTCTTCATTCATTTACACGTGTACACGTGCAATGTATATGTATGTAGAGACGATAAATCTTACTGCATGCATGTACTATATACACCAATATGAATAAACTACAAATGCTGTATACTAGTATGAATCATCTTGCAGATTTGTTACTTGGGGGCGTACATGTAGCTTCAACTAATGAGATTCTTTTTACAAGTTACAGGATTAAACGTTGGCCTCCGATTACTCGTACATGGTTGTGTACTAATGAGTCAGTATAATAATCATGTCGTTGAAGTTACAGGCATACATGCATCACTTGTTGGCTGGCGTCAGTGTTACTACAGTATGTCACGAACCTTACGGCGATGAAAAATGATCGTGCTAGTGCATTACAAATACAGAATTGGTTTGAATAACCTTTACAGAGACAACTCATTCAAATTTATGTACATGTACATGTCAGACTGGTACAAAAAATTGCAACAAAACAGTTTTCAAATGTAAATTTGTTTTTAGCATACATGTACCGGGACGCCCTTAACTTCCCAGACTTTTTAAAATCCATGCAGAGGATTTAGAGGATTTTGCAGGATTTACAATTTTGGAACCTAGCCAACAATACTGTACTGAGGGTCTTAACATGACTCTTCATCTGTATTCAGTGTAAAAGTTTTTCTCAATCACCTTGGAAAGAAAAGCTGTAGGCCTATTTCTGATAATATTAGACAGTACTCAAATACGGTATGTCTAAAAAACTTTGTTTATGGTCAAATGTCTCAAAACAATATCCAGATACATTGTGTACATAAAGTATGTACCGTACCGGTAGGTACCTGTACTCGTAGGTGGGGAAATGATTTTGTATATTTTATTTAGGCTAATTTTTTTTTAGTTTGTTTGTTGTTTACTTTACTCTATCTTAAATGATATTTAATTAACCCATAACGCAGGAAACACTGGCAAAGGAAAGACTTTTTTATTTTCAAAATATACCTTTTTTCAAATGTGGCAATAAAAAAATCGAGGTTGGCATGCTGTTGGCTGTAGGATGGGTTACCGTAAACACAGGTCCATGAAAGTGAAACATAAGATGAGGTTTTGAAATGTATGGGAACGTTTCAAACCCCATGTGCACATTTTGGCAAAGTTTTAATGCCTACAGACAGATACGTTTTTCTTCACACTGGCACACAAAGTGCATGAACACAGTACACAATAGTCAAGTTTTCCAAATTTGGGGACGTCTCTATAGTCCAAAGTCCCATTGGTCTGAAGTCCCATTGGTCCGACGTCCCATTGGTCCGACGTCCCATTGGTCCGACGTCCCATTGGTCCGAAGTCCCATTGGTCCGACGTCCCATTGGTCCGAAGTCCCATTGGTGCGAAGTCCCATTGGTCCGATGCCCCATAGGATTAGGGTTAGGGTTAGGGTCAGTCAACCTGAACAAGTGGAACTTCACAGTATTTTGTTTTGTCGGACCAATGGGACTTTGGACCAATGGGACTTTGGACCAATGGGACTTTGGACCAATGGGACTTTGGACCAATGGGACTTCGGACCAATGGGACTTCGGACCAATGGGACGTCGGACCAATGGGACTTGAAACTATCGAGACGTAACCCCAAATTTTCCTTTAACCCTCCTGCTATCTGAGCAGTCACATACAGTCTTCCCCTGCCATGCCTTTTACACAGGCTAGTCACCAACAGTCAGATCATATGTGAAGCATTAGCACTGTGACTAGTCAAATTCAATCAACTGCCAAAGCAGGCAAGAGGTACATGTAGGCACAGCTGGCTTACAATCACCTACAGTCAAAGCATAGCTGTAACAAGTTACATAGTCCAAGCCAGTCAATCCTGTCAGAAGCTCAAACTTTACTAGATTGATTTGGACTGTAAGGACAACTTGACACAAAATGTATGTTTGCATAGGAGGGCTTGAACTCATTCAGTCCCAGAACAAAGATTTAATTAACAGCATCTAAAATTGCGTTGTACTGGCACATTGACCGCGGTTATACTGAAGTGGAAAAACAATCTAATTAAAATTGATTTTGCAATTGAGGGAGTCACGACATTTAATCAAGGTTTCAATCAGTATTCATCCTAGGTGGATTTAATTATGCATTCTTTACAGTACGCATCACACATGCATACCGGTACAGTCCTGCCTGGCTGTCTGTAAGTACACTGTCATCAGGTTGAAACTTGTGCAAATTTTGACATCACAAAGGAACATTGTTATACCAGCAAGAACACTTTACAACTTTTGGTTGAGTGTAGTTTAGTACATATACAATTTATTTTTTGGATAAAAAAGATATGTTTGTCCCATTATATCAAAAATATATTGGAAACCCCTTTTTTTTAAATTCATTGACAGACAGTGTGGATTGTTTCCCTAGAACAATTTTTTTTTTCATTGCACATATTTTCTATTTTGTTAACCCAAAAGTCCCTGTACTGCCCCTGGTGCCCCAAACTGCTTTGCCAATGTACTTCCTGATTGCTAAAAAACCACCCATGTGTAGGTAAAATCAAGTACAATGTGGTAGGGTCTACTGGGTTTAAAAATGATACTGCGTGTAGCGGCACATGGAGTGTTCCTTTGTATGCATGGTTGCTGCGTGCATGCGGTATGATCTTTTCTCTTCTCATGTAACCGTTCTGCCATGAACTGTTTTCTTCTAGGTACTGACCAAACATTCATCACATAATAGGTAATTTATAAATGATTGCAAGCCTGTAGAATTTGTTTTGGGTTGTATTTGTTTAACCCACTTCGTTGGACTGTCTCCAGGTCTCGTGTCAAAGTACTCTTCTTGCACAACAGATATTGAACTGACAAAACACAGATTGGATGCATTTATGATACAGGATAGGTCTTAAGTACAAGAAACCTGCGTACAGGGTTTTTTTTGGGGGGCGGGGGCGGAGGGGCAATTCCACGCAATTATAAACCTCAATGAATTTTTTGTTTTATTAATTCCAAACACCATAAATGAAGTATCATTTTGAAGCTTTGAATGTTTAACAACACTCAACAGTTTAGCTGCTACGTTTAACTGTTCTATTAATTACAAATGTACACAAAAAGGTTCAATTTGTGTTCGTATGTTTTGACACCATGGTGTTTCAAGCCGATTGCTACTATGTACAACAAAAAAAGTAGGATGAATAATTTCTTTTTTAAATCACTGTAGAAACTTACTCAAACATTTATTATAATTACATGTAAAATCCACTTTTAAATTCATGGAACTTTAATTATGCACATATGCACTGTTGAAATGTGCATGTCCGACACCATGGAAATTAACAAAAAAATGAATGAAATTACTGTGTGAAATTTACTGAGTTAATAGAGCTTGAATTGTCTGAAACAAGTGTAGTTTATACCCGGTACATTGTCAAATATATAAAGATTTTACTTTATTCTTTATGCGTATATTACTTTCTGTTGTTGAAGCCTGCTTTTAAATTTGGTGAAATTTGTTTGAAAAAATCATCAAGCCCACCAGAGCTTGCTTGTCAAGGAGCCATCGCTGCTTACATGTAAATAGAAAATTGCTCACCAAATTTGTGTGTTTCATAAACACAACTGCAAACCAGCCACAAGTACATTGCACATCACTTCGGCTGGTGACCGGTTTTCGCTAAGCAAATATTCTCTGTGCTAAGCAGCCCCATGACAAAACTGGCCCCTACTCTTTGACTAGACTCAAGAAATTGTCATTATGACTATTGACGTTCTCTTAATTTTTGTTTCTTGACTGTGCAGAGTGACTGGTGGGGAGTTGTTCCACTATCTGGCCGAGAAGGATCACGTCAGCGAGGAGGTGGCAGCCAAGTTTACCAAACAGATCCTGGAGGGACTGAAACACATGCATGATAGACAGATCTGCCATCTAGACTTGAAGGTATGAACCGTCCCCCGAAATCAACCTTACCTTCTGCCCGTCACTACCTCTCATTATTCTTAAAAACAAAGTTAACAATTATCACGGGGCTTAAAGGGAATATACAACATTTGCAAACATCGAAAAATAAAACTACCAAGTTTTTACGATATACCTTACTAGGATGTTGGTAAATGACAGTCTAAAGCATCCTGTAAAATTATGGCACCTGGTGTGAAGTCATTTTCAAGAAAATGGTAGTTTTGGATAAATTTCCAACGGTGGTCGGCCGACCACCGTTGGAAAAACTAACTATTTTTCAACTACTGCTCCAAATTCACCATTTTTTTTTTCAGTCCAATTTTGTTTGCTATTGGTTACATGTTCATGAACGGGTGCAGGCCAGCTAGACTGGTTCCCTTACCTTACAATTTTCCGGCATCTAGAAATTGATCCATTTTATATTTAGTGAAGTCGGGGGACCAGACTACTCCACCATTTGTGTTTTTCTTGATTTTTTCAGCCTTTTCGAACACAAAACTTCAAACATGTCAGTGTAACAATATTTGATCTATTATAGTAACCCCTCAAATAGTTCATTTCTGAAAATTACAGCAAAAGTCAATGATGTACATTCCTTTAACTCTTTGCATTTTGTGAGCTCAAAATGGCATCTTTGCTATAAACAGTAGATGCTGAGCCAGAATACACATGTACCGGTATCAGCTGAAATGGAAAGGCAAATTCTTTAGTCTGAAATGTACAATGCATGTATGGAGAAATCACTGCAATCTTGCAGATCAATACAGGCACCAAAACGTCTGCCAGTTTAGCCCTAATACTGTGCGTGCTACATGTATACATGTATGTGTTGTACAATTTCGCAACTCCTCCTTGACATTTATATTCTGAACAAAAAGCTTGCACATTGCGTGTCCGCTTTACTAGGATCCTTGGTGAATGCACCGTGATTCTGTGAATTGATTTTTCTATGCCTGTTTTGAAAGTTGAAGAAATCTATGCCCCACTGTACTTTTGTATCCCATGAATGGTCTACATTAATGTCTCTTCAAGAGAAAATCACAATGTACACCTCTACATGTAGGCGTATAACATCATTCATGAATTCCTCGAAATGAGACCGTTAGTTTTACATTATGCCTCGTGTTGCATGGGTGCACTTTAATTAGTCTGTATATATACAGACATGCACGTATGACATCACCAGAGTGCAACAGCTGAGTGGCATTGGAACTCCCAATAAATCAATATCAGAGGGCATCAACAGATAAAATGCAAACACAGTCAAAATACCTGTTGCCTAGGCTTATTTAAAACGAAACTTGTACATTTCTAAAGTGCAGTGAACACCAACACGTCCATAAAGTTTGCACATGTGCGTGCATTTTACATGTCAGTTTTAAAATGGTTAAATGTCCAAAGTCTGACTTCAATTCCACCTGGTTTGATACATGTTTGCATATATTTACATACATTTATACTTTATATATTCTGAGCTTTTGGTGTAACACATATTTTCCCAATTTTTGGTAAACACAAATTCTTCTTAAAATTACATGGAAATACTAAATTGAAATTATTCATATAATTTACGTGTAAATCTCTTATGGCGTGGTACAGGTAGCCCAGACCTATAATCCATTTCTAAGGCAAAAAAAAAAAAAATACTCGGTCTCTGGTCAGCGCGCGCGTCGATTTTAATCATGCGCGTCAACTTTTTTTTCTTCAAATTAACACGGAAGCTACAACAGCGCCCTCTATTGCCGCGCCTCCTCAAATTTTTGTACCAAGGAGTACCAAGGAGCACCAAGGAATGGGGAAATTGCACCAAGGCAAATGATAAAGGGCACCAAGGCAAATTATGGAGGACACCAATGTATAATGAGGACACACAAAAGCAAAGTACCAGTAGTACCCACCTTGTCTGTACAATACAAGCTTGAAAAAAAAAGAAAAAAAAAGAAAAAAAAAAAAAAAAAAAAACCGCGTCGCCGCATCAATTCCGGAACTTCGGTCTGACCAGAGACCGACTATTTTTTTTTGGGCCTAAAGGATACTATGGCCACTCACGTGTTATGGAAACACCATTCACAGTCATCTCCGTGTGATATTTCATATGACTGTGATGCTAAGGAAATAACTATTAGAGGTTTACAATAGAGCTGACCCAGCCATCAATTAGGCCAGGGTCTTAAAATGGTCCTTGTGGAGTGATGATCATTAAAGCAAGGATGATGAGGCACAGTACATGTATGTGTCACTTAAGGTTTCTGACCTACATACATGTACATTGTATCCGAGTCTGATTTTCAGATAACCGGATTTTGAAATCTCTGATTTCTCCCGCCACTAAAAATGCTGTACAAAACTGATAGCAATTCAGTATTTACACTGACCACATTTGATCAGTCCTGCGGGGCACACACTAATATGAAAATAAATTGAACAGTACAACGCTGTTAATTTAATTATGTACTGTGTAATTTTAACATGTTTAATGTCACTTGGTTCATGTGGAGCTCATAAATAAAAAAAGGCACTGATTTTCTTAAAGTTTCTGAGAATTTCTTGGCACATGTAAGTACAGTCAAGTCTCGTTAATACAAAGTCGTTCGGACCTAGCCAAATTGTTTGTTATATCAGAATTTTGTATTAAGAGAAACATCAGTCCCATTCATTATGCGCATAAATGCACAGTTGAGACTAAGGCTTTATGTTTGTTATAACCAGAATTTTGTATTAACAGAGTTTGTACTAACGAGATTCGACTGTATTGACATTGAGAATCCATGTGACTCATTTCTTTTTAATGACAATTTATTTGTTAACCCTGTTGACTTCCTGTTCACAGCCGGAGAACATCATGCTGCTGAATATGAACAGTCACGAGGTCAAGTTGATTGACTTTGGCCTATCCCGCAAGCTCAGCAAAAACAAAGACATAACGGAGATGGTTGGAACGCCTGAATTTATTGGTATGGGCAGAAACTTACCAGTGGATCAAGTTCTGTAAATTTGGGTCCACTTTTTCCCCTGTACCTCTACGTCTGACAGTTATGATTATATAATTGTGATGCACTCCTTAATGCAGTCATCCTCCAAGAGTGATTATGAATAGCAAACTACCAAACTTGTTTGATATCATTCTTACTGATACTTGAATGGCAAATTACAAAGTAAAGGGACAGGAAAAAATGTCACACTTTGGACCCTAAATTTATAGAATGACGCATGTACCATTCGTAAAAGAAGAAGGGAAGTTATAAGAAAAAAATCAATGACGAATGTCACCAGCTTCGATATTGAAATACATGTACCGGTATGTACTTTAATTTATTAACTAATGGTGCATCTAATTTTGTTACTAATAAGAGATTATTAAAATTTTCATTTTTTTGTAATTGTCAGTTGTTATCTTTTTTTTTTTTTTTTTTTTTTTTTTTTACAGCTCCAGAAGTAGTCAACTATGAGCCTCTTACATTAGCAACAGACATGTGGTAAGTTATAGTTCAGAATGACACTGACTTGCATCAGCAAAATTTAAGCAGAAAATATTCAAATTAATTATTTTTTTCTGACATACTGTACCTGTACATGTATTAAGCTGGCAGGAATCATGGTTCAGTGTGTGGGGAACTTTCAGAATGAATACCACACCACATGCACATGGAAAACCAAAACAGATTTCATATTTATGGGCATTTTGATGCGCGGCAGATGACGCTTGCGAAAGTTGCAGTTTACACTGGAAAGCTATAAAGCCCTTCTAGGGCTTTCTTATACAGATACCAGGGTGCCAGTGTTTTACTTCAATAGAGCGTGCACCCGGTTCCCAGTACCCGGTTCCCGTACTATCCGTAAAATGCACACCACTAGTGCACATACAGTAGGTTGATAGGGTACTTTAGCCTTTAGTACAAAATGCCTTGATCATGTTGAACCATATCAAATCAGTCAACAACCTTCTACATGGAGCAAGAAATCAACCGTTAAATTTTCATTGACACGATTTAAGTGCTTTTTACTGATAGACTCGGGAAGTCTATTTAACGCTTGCATAGTTTTCTCAGTTAATTAATTTCTGTTATATATAAAGCTTCATAAAACTACAGGATGGTTGATTGGGTTTTTATTCATGACACCGGAAGAGTGGAACCTATTTGGACTGGCTTGAAATAATGAAAAGGACAATTAGGAGAAGATTGAGGAAGTTGACGTCTGATCCTCCTTTGAATGACTTCCTGTATATGGAGCCAGGTAGCGTGCCCTGACCGTCAGTGCAAAACCTGCAGCAATTTTATTATTCCTTTAGTCAAAAGTGTTTGAATCACCTTTTTTCCGACCGAGGTGATCATGGGATGTTTGGGTGGGGGAAGGAAGGGTGAGTCAGGTTTGTCGAATCGGAGGCAACCCTGGAGAAAGGTTTTTACCCCTCAGCCGAGAGGCTCGAGGGGTATTGTCATCGCCTAGGGCGTCCGTCCGTCCGGATGTATGTCCGTCCGTCCGTCCGTCCGTCCGGGTAGCTTGGTTTCCGGATGATAACTTGAGTTTAAAATGTCGTTTGGGGTTGTAACTTCGGTAGGGGGTTGCCCTTGGGAGTAGGCAAGTTGGGATTGGTTTTGAGGTCAAAAGGTCAAAGGTCAAGGTCACCGTGGTGAGTTAAAGGTAAATGGTTTCCGGATGATAACTTGAGTTAGAAATGATATTTTGGTGTCTAACTTTGGTAGAGGGTTGCCCTTGGGAGTAGGCAAGTTGGGATTGGTTTTGGGGTCAAAAGGTCAAAGGTCAAGGTCACCATGGTGAGTTAAAGGTAAATGGTTTCCGGATGATAACTTGAGTTAGAAATGAGATTTTGGTGTCTAACTTTGGTAGAGGGTTACCCTTGGGAGTAGGCAAGTTGGGATTGGTTTTGAGGTCAAAAGGTCAAAGGTCAAGGTCACCGTGGTGAGTTAAAGGTAAATGGTTTCCTGATGATAACTTGAGTTAGAAATGAGATTTTGGTGTCTAACTTTGGTAGAGGGTTGCCCTTGGTGTTAGGCAAGTTGGGATTGGTTTTGGGGTCAAAAGGTCAAAGGTCAAGGTCACCATGGTGAGTTAAAGATAAATGGTTACAGGATGATAATTGAGTTAGAAATGAGATTTTGGGGTCTAACTTTTGTAGAGGGTTACTCTTGGGAGTAGGCAAGTTGGGATTGGTTTTGGGGTCACAAGGTCAAAGGTCAAGGTCAGCATGGTGAATTCAAGGTAAATGGTTTCCGGATGATAACTTGAGTTAGAAATAAGATTTTTATGTCTAACTTTGGTAGGGTGTTGCCCTTGGGAGTAGGCAAGTTGGGATTGGTTTTGGGGTCAAAAGGTCAAAGGTCAAGGTCACCGTGGTGAGTTAAATGTTAATGGTTCCCGGATGATAACCTGACTCTGGCTGAGGGGTTTCAACAGCAACGCTGTTATTTTTATCATTGTATGAAAGAATGAAAAGAACATGAGTATTCCATTTTTAACTTAAAGAATAAGAATTTGCATCTACATACATATGCAGAAAACACGCTCCTAACTTCTTAGTCTGGTTCTCGGACCCCATTTGCCTTTGGACTTCAAAATGGGATTCGGTAACTAGCGGCAAATTTGGCATACATTGCCAGGAATTCCGAGTAATGTATGTTAACTATACAAATGTATATATATGCATGACATGCGTAGGTCTCGTCAATTCTAAATCACAATGGTAATGTTTGCGCCCAACCAGCCTGTTGCAAAATGGCCTGGCCACGAATTGGCAATTTCGGAGGTAATGAGCTTCGATTTTTGCCAAATTTAAAAGTAACTTTGGCAAATATCAATAAAGAGAGAAATGTTGCTGTTCAATATTTACAACCTATGCAGTTGAAATGCTTGAAAGTTGCTTTCATGGAGACACTGGTGATTACGTGTGTACTTTTTGTGGTAAGACAAGCGTGAATTTCTTGATAATCGTGAATTCAATCACCCGCGTCCATGCACAAAGGTTAACAGCAATTCAAAAATAAACAATTGCGATGCGCGCCCGCAGAGGCCATCCAATCAAAGGCTTTAAATGGGAGCTAGTTACCAGTCTCCGTATCTTAAGGGGGGGGGGGGGGTCGGGAAACAGTCTACTAACTTCTGAGAAGAGTAAAGTTGCAAGGTACATAGTCCATATTGTTTGTTTACACGTTTTAAAACTCCTTAGTCATGTTAGTCACTGTAGCACCCGAAACTGCTGTGCCTGTTACTCACTGTAGTGAATAATACAATGAAGTCAAGATACTAATGGGTTAATCCATTTACAGATGCAGATCTCATGACAAAACTTTTTAACTTGTTTAATTCCTCTAACATTTGCAAGTTCACATAAAAAGACGAAAGAACTGTACACTTTAAAATGTTCATGCAATGCCAGTGTTCAGTACTTCACATGAATGCGAATACAAAGCAAATTTGATGTCAAGAAAAGTTCTTGGAGTTGAATTGTGTTTAACTTTTGTGAATTCACGTCACATATTTACATTGTGGTCACTTTCGCACTACTATGGGCCTAAGCGTTCACTCACATAAAATAGCAGTTCTTTCATGAATATATGCGTTAGCCTAAGTGTTACAATTTGTTAATTTTTTTTTCAAAATTAAAGTTGAGAAATTGCAGACAAGAGATACATGAACATGTAGTGAAAAAGTAGCCAAGCAAACCACCATATCCTTATTTTTAAGCTTGCGACCCCTGGGGATACTAGACACTGAGTCAGAGCCCCGTAACAGCTCTGACTGGTTATTTAAGGAAGTCTGTGTATGAACGAAGAGACGGGGTGTCCGGGTCAAGACCATGAAATGAGGGAGATCACGCATGGCTCATTCACGGCTTTGTACTAAACTAACGACGGTGAAGGTACCGGTACCCCTGTCTGGGCTGCACACGCTACATGTCTATGGGAGCAACTAAAGTCAGTTTCATTTTGCCGTTTGTCGTCAAGTTTTTTTTTTTGTGTGTGCATGGGGTGAAGTTCGAGTGGAAAAGGTTCTAAAAATAATTCTTTGTGGTTTATCCTTCTTATTACTCTAATTGTAGCTTCCTTCTTTGCCTATCTTCCTCTCCATGTGGCACTTGGCCTTGATTGATCAAAGAATCTTTACATTAAGCTTACAATGTTTTTATTATTTTTGTTTAATCTCCAAAGAGAAAATACATGTACTTGTGTAGTTAGTACTTTGAATGTATGTATGTACTTTGACAAAAATATGAGCAAAACTGTATTAATTCGGATGTAACATTGACACTGTGTCAATGTTAAAATCCAAATATTCTTTTTTTTGCCATTTTTTACACGTATGTAAAATATTATCCAAACTGACATTGCATATTTATAACAGGATGCAGCAAGTAAAGCTTATGTAGTCAGGGTTTAAATATAGCAGAAACAGTACCTTAATGAGGATGTAACGTGTCAAAATCACTAAATGGAAGTATGACATTTGGGGTTGACACGGTGTCAATGTTTAGTCCACAGCCAACATGACCAAGCTCTCATTTCTGCTCCATTTGATACCTGACTACCTTAACAAAAGCTTTTCTTATTGTGTTGCACGTATAGTGAGAAGTACATGTACGTAAAGTGAATTTGGGTAATATTTCACAGAAATTAAAAAAAAAAGGTACGAATGGCATATTTGGACATAACATTGACACGGTGTCAATGTTACGTCCGAAATAAAATGTTTGCTCATATTTTTGGCAAAATACATTGAAATGATTTAAAACTTTCTGCAGTAGTGAAACACCCAACAACAAATATTATGTAGAGCAACTGCCCTGACTGCTAGCAAGGCATTCCCAAACTCGGTGGAATGACCCATGTATAAACAATCCGGAATCACATTATGAACAATTCTTCATTCTCAAGCTTCCCAGAACTCCAAATGTTCATGTTTTCTTATTCAATTTTTACTAGTTTCCAAAGGAATTCCCAATTTGATGCCTGCTCCTTGTGTTCATCCTTATCCTCATCTAACCAATTACGATCCCTTCCACTCCAGTGGCCATGTGTATCCCTAGAAACGTCTCGCCCAATTTGAAGGTGTTACCTAATCCCTGGATGCTCTCCTCGGATGCATAATACGCAAACAGATGTCCAATTCTTTGGAGTACCCACCCAATCAAATACACCTTCCACTCGGCTGCGTTCCCCAGTCCTCTGTCCCCTTCCATGCCCCTCGTCCATCTGGGATTAGTACGCCTCATTTGCTATCAGAAATAACGATACACCACCAGTCTATGATGCATGAATTTGTTACTAACGTCTCAAATATTTGCTTTCTAGTCACGGAGCTACAAGCTCTCTACTTAAAAGACTCAATTTCCTTGTCAATGCATCATGATAATGATTGTGTATCCGGTAATTATGAGGATGGCAATTTGCGCTTGTGCAAGAACTGTTGAAGAGCGTAGATGTAGATGTAGATGTAGGGTGTGTGGCCTGTGATGAGT